GTGTGCTTGAGAGAAACAAATGGAGTGTTTAAGCACAAAAGCTCTTCTTGACCTACTTTCATTCATTACACGTGGAAAATCTCTTCCATCAGAACCTCTGCTTCCTACTTGCTGTGATTCAGGAAGGTCCAGAAGGGTTGGTCAGAAACCTGAAACAATTCCAGTAAGCCTGGAAACAAAGAGATGGCTCAGGGGAAAAAGATCCATCCGAACCATCTGCTTGTACTGATTCTGGCTGGTTCTCCACACAAACGCCAAGAACTAAAACAGAGCCATATCCCAACTGGAGACAAGCTGGGTACATGTACACGTTGCCTTACAGTGACTTCCTTCTGGAAATACTAAAACACGGCACCGTAACCACCCGTACTGTACCATACATGTGGCACACGGTTATTTTTAGTGGCTACTTTGCCATAGCGACATGCTATAACAACGAAGTGCACTGCTATGGCAAAGTAGCTGCTGGTCATGTGTGAACACCCATGCACACTATGTTGCCGTAGCATGATGCAATGTCGACATAGCGTCATGTGTAGACACACCCACTGTGATGTTACTAACAGCCTGTTTTACCTAGAGCGAAAAGCATATCCCTTGTGTGTACTCACGGTTTATTCAGTAACACTGCTCACAGGAGGAAACACCAGTCTGTGCGAGATTCATCCAAGTCTCCAACGTGATCGAACAGATTTGGCTTTGACTCCCGAACCCAGATCATGCAAAACTGAAAATGCTGAATATTCATAAGAGAGGAGATGGAAGAAAGAGAGGGTTTTTGCCAAGCTACACAATTTTGCAAATATGAATAGCCACCCCCACCATCTATAAGGCCTTTTAAAAGAGCTAATCTTCTGAGCAATCAGTTCCTATGGAAATGTATTGTACTGTTGGATTTTGGCATAAAGAACATTAATTCAGTCCCTACTTCTGCAAAACAGGGGGTTAGGCTTTTCATCTTTCAAAAAGCCACCAGAGAACTCGATTGCATTACTCTTGCAAAAATGCCATAGAAAAATACCAAGTATTTAAAGCAGATGCTGGAAAGGATCTCACAGCTGGAAAGGAACAGGGCTTGAAGCAGAAAAATAATTTAAGTTGGGGTATCTTCCCCTGTGGAAGCTATCAAATTAGTAGGCAAAGATAAGTCCCTATCGCTCCTTTAAGAAACATACTATGGGTTTTATTTCAAGGCTCCCGCTATGATGCTATACAATGCCACACCCTTCTATGGAGTCAGAAGCAGCCATTAGATAGCTGCAAACAAGTAAAATAGAGTTGGTAAAGAGCTGCCTGAAGGATGTTAATGATATTCAAGAGGAAAAACAAGGCGTCCTGACGTCCGTGGTTTTACACAGTACGCAGCATATCAAGGGAAGGGAAGGGAGAGGGTGCTACACCTTATAACTTCACCAGCTGGAAGTCTAAGTTACCCCTGCAATTCCCACTGGAGATTATTTTTCTTTCCCTAACTTAGAGATGCTTTAAGAAGCTTCAATACCTCCCTACTTTAAGGGGAGCCGAAACCATTCCAATCATCTAGTCATCTTATTCTAGCACTCACACAGGGTTTAAGATTTCACTAAGCAATTCCTGTAGTGAGCTCAGAGCTCCTGGCTGAGCTAAAGCTGCTCTTTCATAAAGCTATCCAACCTAAAACAGCCTCAAGGGCGCTGCCAGGCTGTCAGTTTGCAGAGTCCATTAACCACGGAAGTACAAATTCAGCCAATCCAGCTGAATTCTGTTTAACTCCATCTGCATTCAGCAGAACATACCAGTATATGCCCAAGTGCTTTGCTGAATTGGGACCACGACACTGAGCATTGCCAGAAAACCTAGAGCCTCAGAAAGCCAAGAGCAGAACGAGAGCAGCTTCTGCTCTGCCTCAGCCATCAGTGCTGCTCCACGACGGTGGAGACGACAAGAAATGGTTTTTTTTCCAAGAGACAACAAGAAGTCCTATTAACTAGTGTTGGCATGCAAGGGTTTTTTAATTTTTCAGGAGTATTTTTTGGAAAGTAAAAAAACCCTCACGTGTCAAGACAGAACTAGCTTGCACACTTCTGGTACAAAATAGCCTCTGTCTACCACTGGTCTCTTCTTTCAGATGTTACCCAGGCTGCTGCCCATGGAAACATCATTAAAAATACCCGGGCCTTAAGGATTTTACCATGTGGAACGGATTCAGATAGATACCTCACAGAGGGGACGTAAATATTGGATCCTTTTCATCCAGTGACTCTGAGATGCAGAGATATTTTACTAAGAACCTAAACACATGCGTGTTTCCTGACAAATACTTAAAGACAGTAGTATCCTCCAAAGGAAGAATGAAGTTGGAGGTGAAGAGGACTTCAGCAAGGCCAGGCATACCCATATAAGCTTAGCACTCTTCAGACTGGCGGCTGCTTGTCTGTCCTTTGGCCAGGAGGAGACGCAAGACTCTTGAAATAAGCAACAGCAGAACAAATATATAAAAATAGTTGTAATATTTTATCCAAAAGGAAAAATTAAAAAGTTTTACAAAAGAATACATATAATACACAGATGAAATCGCTGTTAAACAAAGACATCCTGCCCCGCAACTTTAGGGTCTACTGAACAGCCAGAAAAGAAAGACGTATGCACGTGTGTGTGTATGAAGCGAATGGGGAAATTCAGGGACAAACAGCTTGCTTGCTTTGCTTCAGTTCCAGTCACAGAGCTTGGCATGTGTTCAAGTGCACCACAACGGTTTTAGGTCGGGCTGCAGTTTACAGAAGGACACCCGCGTTTCTTTGTCCCTTCACCAATGTGAAAAGTGCCTCTCCTAGCCCATCATCCCTCCTCTCACAACCCTGCTCCAAGAAAAGGAGTAGCTGTTGAAATAAGCCTCTTTCCTGGCAACATTAGATGCTCCAAATCCTTCAGGAAGCTGAACCAGATCCTTTGTACCTGCTGCTGAATACCAAAGGTAAAATTAAGCCCTGCAGTGAGGTCCACTGAGAAACCTTGATACCACTGAATCTCACATAAAGCAATACATAGAGCACTTGCAACAGCTGAGGGCATTGCTTCCACCCTGTTTTAAGGATGGAAATGGTACCAAGTTGGCCCTTCACACACAAGGAAATTTCAGCCCAGCATAACAGCAACAACATGTGCCACTTGGTTTCCACAAGCGGAAACAGGGCCGGGACTCTTGGTTTTCAATCCAAAGGTACAGCCCCTTTCTGAAATGGACTGGGCATCAACAATTACTAAGCATTATGTAGAACATGGCACAGAAAAAACAGCCTGCAAGTCAAAGCTGACTGTGGCTGGAACTGGGTACATTAAGGAAACCTGACATCCATTTCCAAAACCCTGTTTGGTATTCTCTTGATCTGGATTCTCTTTGGTGCAGCTATGAAAAACTGAGTATAAATACAAGAATCTAGGCATGAACTGCTGTCTTTTGAAAAAGTCTCTCTCAATTCAAATTTGAATGCAAATCAATGCATGATCTGAGTCTGAAATGTTACCAAGAAAAAGGTAAGGGAATTTTCCTATGTAGTTAGAGATTCTCCACTTCTCCGAGTTCTTCTCTTTTGTAGCAAAAGGTGAAGAGAACTCTCCAAGCTGTGGACAACGAGTAGTTCAGTGTCCTGAACCTTCCTAAACAGAAACTCAACTAGTTGAGAGCATACCAGTTCTCTCACCCAACGTCCGGGTCACCTCTCTTGACTAACAATTAGATGTACAGGCTTGGAATTTCAATCTAGTTCTGAAAATGCCCAGTATAGTTCTACCATGATGCTGGTGACACCTAGTGCCCCAGAGAGCAAGGTGGCCGACAGCACTGGTGTGAGTGCAATGAGACAAGGAGCGGAGATGTGAAAACACTGACCCTCCTCAACCAGGAGTCCCTTGCCAGCCCAGGCTCAGAGCGCACACCAGTGTCAAAAGCAGTGTCCCTTACGACTACTGAGCTCCTGAAGTGCAGCAGGATTTGCAGGGGCACATGGCAGGTGGTAGCTCTGCAGACTGCCATCTCCCCCATTAGCTCTGCCACTGCACCTCAGCCTTGCACTGTTTCAACGCAGTGTTGCTACCAAACTGAGATGGCTGTTTTCTCTGCTGCAATTAAAAATATCCGCCAGTGCTTACACTAAGATCAAAGAGCTTTTCTCCTTGTAACCTACTGGAAATAAAGCAGCCCCATGCAGAGGCTAGCCCCTGAATCTCCTAAGTGACCTATGTCCTAAATACGACAAGTTATTTAAAGGAAAGGGGTAAATCGCCAGCTGCTGTAAATTGAAGCCAATGGAACTCAGACAATTCACGCAAGCAAGAATCCAGCCCTGGGATCAAAAGAAATAGTGTTCACTCTGCTCACAGCAGGAAAAACTTTCTATGCATTCCTGAGCTGTTCAGCAGAGAAACCACACATTACCATGTGGCAGAAAGCAGGGGCAGCATGGGTTAATTTTATCCACCAGCTAAGATGCAGTAGCTTTTTCAGGAAGCAAATCTTGCACATTCACTGCTTGCACCGAAGCCACACTAAAGAAGTTGGCATCATCCCCACAGACAGAAGCGTTTGCACCCTCCCACTGTACATTGTGTTCAGCTTAGCAGTCCAAGACAACAGATCCAAGGCTGTCAAGGATGCAGGAAAACAATTATTCCAGACAAAACTGCAGGCTTATCATCAAAACAGTTGTTTCAAAAAACTTTAAAAAAAAACAACAAACCAAAAAAAGCTACCCCCTGCCAGCATTCTAAATATTCTCTCAAACATGTTCCAGTTTAACACCCTGAAAAAAATCAATGCCCTCTGAGATCCAAATTGTGGCAATTAAGTCTAAGGATTTGCAAGAAACTAGGCACAAAGAAAACAGAGAGGGTGCAACGCTCATGCGGAAAGAAGTTTTCCTCCCAAGCCTGGATTCTGTTCAACAACTGGGTAGAAAGAAAAAGAATCTATGCAGGGGGAGGGAGAGAAAGAAAGGTTACACTCACCAGCCTTTTTAAAAAAAAAAAAAAAGGTCATTTTTAAACATTTCTAAATTTGTTTCAGCAGCTTCTAAGCAACTTTTGCTGCACTTCAACAATGCATTAAAATGGTTTGACCCTTGAGTCTGAAGGAATTTCTGATCTGCCTAAAACGCTTCCAAAGGATACAAATGGCAGCCTGTCTACAGTAGGCCATTCTCAAGCCATTCATTTCACTTCATTTCTTTACCAGTGTAGATATGTGCACATGTAAGCAACTCTACTCAGAAAATAAAGCAATACTGATAATGCAGTGGTGTTTTATAGGTCATTAGTGTTCAGAAGAGAGAAAGAATCCAGTTCTCATATTTCAGGTCTGTGATTGTTTTTTTCCAGGTGTAGTTACTTCACTATTCAATATTATTATGAAATTTAAGCAAGCCCTTTGAAATCATCTATACACACAGTATATCTGAAACACAGGAAGCTAACAATACGGACATTAAGCACTTAGAGTAGCCTTGAGAACACAATAGTGCAAGTTCCTCCCACAGCCACCTTGCTTACAGTAGCACAACGTATATAACAAGTAAGGCAGAGGGTGCTACTCAGAGTAAAAGAAACAAAAAAAGTCTTTTGGACACCTGTGGGGACAACCAACACAGTCGGTCCACACACTTGCGTATGTATTTCTCATGAACAAGTCTATGTCAAAATGTTTCAGGATTGTTCTCAGTTTCACAAAAGATACAAGAGTCCTTTCGATCCCAGAATGATTGGGTCATGGACGATTCTCTCAACAATCACTGAATAAGATGCTTTAAAAAACAAACTAAACATGGGTGCTCCAACGGTGTAGAAGGCCCTGCAGTATGGGTCCAACATGGTGTTCGAAGGATATCAGGCTGTATCCAACAGCTCCAGAAGAGCACCAACTGCTCCAAAATAACCCTATTGAGCACAGAGAGAATCTAATTAGAGACTGAACCTGAGACACAAACATCAGAATGATACTATGCAAAACAGTAATGTAAGAACACAGAAGGAAGCTGCTCCCAAGTATAGCAAGTAGATGGTATTACAACTTCTGGTGATAGCATTTGTCCCAGAAAACAGAACTACAAAAGGTGCTGTTTGGAATGTAGATTAAAAGTCTTTGGAAAGAGACATTTCCACAGTGCAAACTTTGTATACGCAGTTTGCATTTTAACTACTAAAACAATAAACCTGAACAGTGTGCCAGGCTTGGAAGTTCTGCAATAATTGTGTCTATGGTAACAAAACCTGCAGAACTGGTTACACAATTTATAATCGCTATTGACCAAAGGATCAGCTTTGGTACTTTCAAGTCACTGTAGGTGTCTGAACCTTGAAAGAATAAAATAGATTAAACAGTAAATTCACCTCGTGTTCCAAGAAAAGGGCTTTCAACTGTCCCTTGGACCAATAATTCAATGCGTAAGCTAGAAGTCTCATTGAGATTGTATTGATCCGCAAGAAATTGCCAACAAAAACCACCCGATTAATGTTCTGCAAATATAAAAGAAAAAAAGAAGTGTCAGAACCTTTAAAGCAAACTCCATTTTGGCTTCAAAACACAAAACAAGAAAAAACCTATGTTATATTGCATTTTATTGGAAGACTACAGCCAGCTTTTAAAGTACGTCTTCTGGCTGAGATCAATGAAAGCGAGTGGAAAACAAAGCAAGGCTGCCAGCATTTGCTGAACGAACTGAAGTATGGACAACCTCACAGCTCTCTAAATACCCCTGCTGTTGGTAGTTATTGCTCTGCTTTTACCAAGCTGGAGAGCATGAACAAGAAAGAATGGTATTTTGAGTGGGGAGGGGTTAAAAAGAAACAGACTTGTGATGTGTTTGCAAACTCAGCATTTAGAACCTCATACAGGAATGTTCAAATCAAATCCAACAGAGCAGAGCAGAACTGAAACCAAGGGGGACTGAAACACCAAGCAAACAAGGAGGCCAGCAGCAGTGTAACATTACTGAAAGGAACTACAGCAAGATGAGGCCAGAAGAGGCACAGCGCCTCACTCAGGCTAGTTACTGGAAGAGGAGAGCCAGCAACCAGGCTGAAGGAAGAAGCAAAACAGCCAGATTTCTGAGCGTGGTCAGGTAGGATCCCATTAAAGCTAAGGACAAACATAATTCTTAAAAGCTCTAGAAGAGGAAGGGCTGCTGCCTCTCAGGAACTAGGTCAGCTGTTACAACATAATTTGCATCCTCCTCTCCAGATACAAAGTAGCTGACATCACCCTAACTCTAATACTGAATGAAAGGGGATTAAAGTTGCACTGACTCAATCTAAAGGGGTTTGATAAGCCTTGTGTAAAAGGATACCTTGGAAAACCCAGCACGGCTTCTATTCTTGTGTCCCTGTCATGTCACTTTACATCTAACTCCACACCTAAAATCACAGCCATCACCAAGGTGAAGCCCAAAGGGAGCTTCTTGTTGAATCAGGTCAGGCAGGCCTCAAACTGGCTGAACAAACCATGCCCCTTTTCTCCCACAAGCTTCTGACCCCTTGTCCCCCGCTCCCCACCCCCGCAATGGGATGAGTGTGCTTCCTCCATCTTCACCACCAGCCTGAAGATCAAAAGAGCAGTAGCCAGAATGATCCAATGTGTATGGTCACCTCACAAAGTGACATGGAACCAGGCACCAAAGAACCTTGGTGGCATCTTAGATTTGAACCCGGATTTCCACACAAGCTCCTTGTTGCAGTCCTGGAAAGAAGCCATTTCCCTTACTCGGCCTCAGGAATGCTACAGTTTATTGGCTTCCCAGTCAGGACAGTTTTAAAAGTTCCCTCTTCTGAACAGGGGCTCGTGGCCAAGTACCATCTCTGCAGCCTCAAAGCCGCTATTGCATGCACCCTTTCCGCACAGCTCTCCTCAGCACTCCCCTTTTGTCTGACCTGGTCAGAGTCTTGTCTAAGTTACACTATATATTCCTGAGTGGAACAGAGGGAGGAATAAATGGTAGACACTGGACAGAACTGGTGTTGATAGTGTCTTGGGTATTTATAGCACCAAACAAGTGCATAATAGTAACCGCTCAGTGATAAGCACGCTTCATTGTGATGGATCCTTTCCTGTACAGGCAGGCCCCGAATGAAGTGAAGAACAGGTCTCTGTTCTTTCATAGCCCTGTACAATGCTGCTTGACATAAATGCAACAAGGCAGCACTGTAAAGAAGCTGAAAGCACAGAGCTCAGAGATACACCACTGAGGCCCGTAACTACTTTTGCAGCAAAACATTACAAGTAACCAGAACAAACAACACAGGAAAGGTCCTCTTTTTAGTTCTCTTTTCAGTGAAGTACTTGTTTAGATGCCCAGCACTGATAACCGACAAGCGTGGGGCTGAGCAGGGACCAAACTGTGCTCAGGATCTTCCTGCAGCTTCCAGAACTCCGGTGTACTATACAATTCCCGTTTTCCTCCAGTGCCCCAAACTATGGTTGAACAGCTATTTAACTTCAGATTAGGAAGGGAAATTGACCGGAGGAAACACGCGCACACACCCTGCTTGGGAAGGCTATTACAATTTTATAGTGCTTTGAACTGACAAGGTACTGTTTTTCATCCAACTGTATGGGGCAGGTTGGGAAGGGAATCTCAGGTTACAGTTTAAACTGGAATGTCCAAACAAGTAAGAAAATGCTTCAGCCAAGCAGAAAACAAGCTCTGTGGAACAGTAACAGACATGAATGGCTATCTTCAGACAGAAAGAGGTCACATCACATGCATGCTTTTTTCCTCATACCTCGTTAAGGGCACACATCCGTGCTATGGAGCCAATGTTGTTGGTGATTGTTATTAATGTTGCTCTGGCCAAGTCTTCTTTACTGACAGACTCTCTCTTCTCCTTGCTCACCATGTTTCCAAAGCTGTAGAGAGAACCTGAGTTAAGTGACCATTTATAAAGGCCTATAAAGCACATGAAGCAATATCCATTCCAGGTAAGTCATAATGCTACTAATGGAAGTATGCACATTTTTAACAGGGTGCTTAGGCTAATTGGAACTTATTATTACATTTTATTAATAATTTGTCACATAAATAGAAATGCTAACTATAAGTCACCCCCTTCACTCATACTCTTGTTTTTCATTCAGACACACTAGAACAACCTGAAAAGGCCACAATAAATCTTTACCTGGATGCCACTGCCCACCCTGGCAGCCCAAACCGCTCGTAGTCCCCTCCGTAGATGTCCCGCACAAGTTTGTCCACTTTTGTGCTATCGCCACGGGATGCCATTTCAAGAGCCTCTTCAAAGGTGGAGCAGCCTGTGAGAAGACAGCAGAGGCCAAAAAAGGTTCCCCCTCCAAGACTGGAATACAGAACAGAAAAGCAACATTTGCTATGTTGTATTTCAAAAAAGAAATGGAAAAAAATAAAAGGGACTTGCCTTAGTGAAATAAAGTCCCATTGTTGAACACCTCCAAAGTCATATTAAGAATGAGCTAAGCTGCCCAGCCACTTATCTTCTCTTTCTACTGCAAACCCTGGAAGAGGAACTCAATGAAGTCCTCATTTTTATCTTTAAATCTGCTTCTGCAACTCATAAGCAAGCATAAGTCTTAGCCTCCTGTTTTCATGAAGCAATAACTGAAAAGGGGCTTTTCTTGTCTTACAATATTCACCGTACAGCGAGTACTGAAGAGTCAGTAGGTTGCATACATTTTTAACAAATCAACCCAGCAATGAGCTCTGCTCATACACAACAGTCTGCCCACACAGCATTCCTGGAGGATTGGGGCCCAACTGTTCAAACCCTCCTAAATTCATTGTACATGCTGTACGCACATGCCATCAAGGATGCATGCTAGAACTGACAGGTACAGGATGTTCTCGTCTGATTTTTATTTTGCAACAGTGCTCTTTCCAAAGTTCAATCCAAGGTTTCCCCAGCTTGGCTGTGCAATGACTGGCCATTATGATATGTTTTTAAGACCTGACTGACAGAGCGGCCCAAGTAAGCCAGTGTTCTTCCACTGCGGCCCCAAGTGCCTGTTCCCCCAAGCACTACTGGGAATAACAAGGAATAATGGTCATAAGTTGGCGGAGAGTAGATTCAGGCTAGATATCAGGAGGCACTACTTCACAGTCAGGGCGGCTAGGATCTGGAACCAACTTCCAAGGGAAGTGGTGCTCGCTCCTACCCTGGGGGTCTTTAAAAGCAGGCTAGATAGACACCTTGCCAGGGTCATTTGACTCCAGCATTCTTTCCTGCCCATGGCAGGGGCTCGGACTTAATGATCTGCTCGGGTCACTTCTGACCCTACCAGCTATGAAACTGGGCTCCATCTGCAGAAATAACTTATCCATAATGAAGACAAAATTCAAATCCTGGAAGCAGAAATGGAACAGATCACATTAAAACGTGCTCTTTTTAACGCTTGGAAGATTCCCCTAACAAGGAAACTGCTCCCCTGGTTAAAAAAAAAAGAAAGTTTGGATTTTTGCAGTAGAATTGGCCTCCCTGTACAGACTGACTGTGGTAAAAGGTTACACAGACATGATCCCAAAAAGGATCTCTGTTCACTAGAAACAGTAGGAAAGGGAAGTAATGAAATGTTACAGCAAAACCCTTCTGTTATACAAGAGTTACCACTTCTAAAGCCATTTTTCCTGGAAAATGAGATGTAAGCTTTCCCCATGTTCATCATTTCCAAGATCCAAGACTGCAGTCAAAGTAGATCTACCACTCTCTAGGGCTTACCTGGTCCCAGTTACTCGCTTGTAGTTGTCTTTGGAATAAACAGCCAAGATGCTGACCCCTGAGCCAATGTTCACCAACAGGAGAGGATATGGATTCTCCAAGTTAAACGGGAGCTTCTCACATTTTTCTGAATCAGTTGGATTTTCAAAATAGTAGCATTCTGAGTGTCCATTAAATCCAACAGAATCAATGTACAGTACTCCCTTAATAAGGCAGTCAAGTTCATCTAGCTTGCGAAGCTGAAGGTCACCCATCTGTTAAAAGAAAAACGTTATTAAAAAGCCGGGCAGAGATTTGAAGCATTTATACTCACCACTGGTCAAATTCAGCCCAATGGCAGAGAAAAGAATTCCACTCTCCCACATACATTGGTATAATGCAGAGTGAAATGCTCGTTGTGATATTTAAGTACATTTCTAAGGAACCCCACTCCTGAAAGGTACAAGCACCTTCACAGTCCATGAGACAAGACAAAACAGATAACCTGATCCAAAGAAAGCTGGAGCCAAGAGACTGACTCCAATGGACATCATATCAGGTCCACAGCATCCCATGACAACAAAAAGGTGAAGGGAATGGGGGCAGGGAAGAGCTGGTGGGGGAGAAAATGACAGCTCCCACACAACAGATAGCAGGGAAACCGCATGGTATTCTTATCATGGACCCTGCATGGGACCCTCCATGTTTGGTTGGTCAATCTGTTAAGCCCTGGTTTCAAAATATATTGATATACAATCCCAGATAATGAGTTTCACCTACACAAACATCTATTTGATTTACAGTCAGGCTCATTCTAATCAGTAAACCTGAGAAGCAAAGCTGCTTTCAGCCCATTGCCTCTAAATTTAAAAGAATCTGAACCAACTCAGTGCTGTATAAATGAACCTTAATCAGTGGAACAAGTACAGAACACACACTGAGCTCATAAATGAAGAGCTCATGGAGGAAACAATTAAAAGAGGGTAGGGAAACTGAAGCCTAGTGATTACAAGCAAGTCCTATGAAAAGCACATTTTAGGCAGATTAAATAAAATAATGATTTTACAATTATAGCAAATATGGCTATTGCTTTGTAAACAGGGTTCTCTCCAAATGTTTTTTAACTTGACACAGGAAATAGCTTTTTAAGGGCTAAGATTAACAGGAGTTAAAGAATGAAACAGTCAGCTGTTATTTCATGTTCTTTAGAAGTTAAGTGCAACTCTCATTACCATATCCTAAGCATATATAAGCCAAAAATGCATACTGTGCGAAAGTCCTGCTCAAATTTGTATGCTCCACCTCCTGTGGCACATAAGGTAGTATGGAGGCTTGAGAAGTGTTTCTCGCTGCCCATTTGAATAAAAGCAGGCATATCATGAGTAGGAAAGCGTATAAAGTGCAGATTGCCTTTACGTCCACACAGCGTAAGGTCCTTTAGTTCAAGGTGCACATCCCGAATGCCTGTCGATCCATAGGCAACGTTTGAGGTCAGGTATTTTCGAATGCTTTTAAGATTTTCTACTTCTTCCTCCTCCTCTTCAGCAGTGATGTCTTTTGGTTCAAAGTAAACAAGCTTGACCAAGGTCCCTCCGATATCCAAGCCAAACCAAGGAAAAACTAAAAGGAGGGAGGGAAGAAAAAATATAGCATTTAGTACCATTAGTCAGCAAAAATTGCCAAGTTAAAATGAAAAAGCAAGACAATTTTTACTGAATTTCATTACAAGTCATGCAGTTTCCAAGGTACTCACAGACATATTTAAGTTGTTTCTAAAACAGAAATAGGCAAACAAAATGTATTTTGTCTGATTTCTATTAACTGGAAGAATTTTAACATTACTGTATAAGGAAACGGTTATAGAGGAATTTACCAATGTTTTCCAGCAATCACCCTAAACACAGCAAGAAAGCTGTGATATACAGCCCAACCCTCAGGTACCACCGAATTTGCACTGAGAACACCTGGGATTGCCACCTCACTAATCTTTAAAAGGCTTTCACTTAACAAGGCCACTCCTCCAGAGAGAGAGATCACACATTTGAAAGAGCCACCCAGATACCACATGAAGAACTACTGCAGTACAGAAGAAAACCCCCACGAATCGCACACCGCTGGTTATGAAATATCACCCCTCCCTCGAAGCCATATGGAAAATCCTCAAATAATTGCAACCCATACTAGGAAGAGGACCTATTCTTAAAGGGATCTTCCCAGAACCATCCATCCTAGCCTTCAAACAAGCACCAAACCTCATCACCAGAAGCAAACCTTCTAAGGTCCAGAACACACCAAATGGATCCAGACTATACCATGACAAAAAATGCAAAACCTGCCAACACATCTCCTCCACCTCCACAATTACTACACCCCACAACAGAGCCATCACCATTCCTGCATCTTACAGCTGCACCTCCAGAAATGTCATACATCTCATCCAATGCACCAGATGACCTGATGGAAAATACATAGGAGAGACCAAATAACAACTGCACACCAGAATGAACGCACACCGGACTTCTATCAAAGACAAGAATGCCTAATTACCGGCGGAGGCAAATTTCTCACAAGAAAACCACTCTCTCTCCAATCCTCAAAGGGAACTTACAAAACACTTTTCACAGACGAGCCTATGAACTTCACTTCCTCAACTGCCTGGATACAAAAAAAAAAAAAGTCACAGACTAAATTTAGACATTGGATTTATGACACATTATAACCTGCCTGACATCTGACTCCCCAGGTACCTCCCCCCTATCTACCTGCTACATTCATCCCCCTTCTCTCCCCACACCAGCCTGTCTCTCACCCACTGACTCCTCAATTTATATCTTCACTGACTACCTGTCTCACATGCAGACCAGCCCAGCCACCGGCTTCTTTACTAGTCATTCCACCCAGGAAGAGCACACACCAGCTGCAGAGACTTCCTCAGCCTGACGAAGCGTTTTTAAACCCAAAAGTCTAAGAAATTTTTTTTCCAACTATTTAAGTTGGTCTAATAAAAGATGTTAGATTCACCCAAAGAACCCTGTCAACCTTATTATTAAGCATGCAGTATCCTGACAGTCTATGGCTCTAACAGAAAGTGCCATTAAAATCCATGACGAAGAGGCTCTGCAATACCCAAAAGCAGATTTGACGCTTGTAATTTTAATCCCCAACTGATTCTCTTTTGATGTGCTGATTAAGAACTAGGGTAGTGAAAAGGATAATACCAGCACTTGCATTGCATGTTGCATCAAAGCAATATACACACATTAACTAATTACATGACAACACTAAGACAGACAACTATTCTAAGATGCCCCCAGGGAGGAGAGGGGAAAAACCCCAGAAGTGTCTAACTGGGTTCTTGCATTAATAAAACTCTCCAACGGCAAAAAACAAGCATTAGTGTCAAATTTAACAACTACTGCGAGTATAAAAAAAAAGAGAGAGAGAGATGTTTGGAAACTACCAAGCAAAAATTCTGATCAAGCAAAATCTGCAATTACTGCTAAGTACTGGAATAGATTAATAAAACGGTTAATGAACTAGTGGGAAAACTAAAGCTAAGACGCCAGTGTGGATCACAGACTAAAGAAAAGAGGAGATGTAGCCACTCATTGAGACTTCTGTGCAGCTGCATTAAAAATGATCAAGTTAACTGCAAACATGCTCCAAAATCAGTACCTGCCCATTCCAGAAGGAAGTGGCTCTCATAGCTTTGGGACTTGTCCACGCAAGTCTCTGCCACCTTGAAACGCACCAGGGAAGCTTCCCCAGCTCATCCACCATGGCTGCTCTCAGTCCCACCCTCCCTGACATGGCACAAATAAGCAGCACAAGGTTCTGAACCATTTGGAGTAAAACCAGAAAAATGCCCTGTTAAGGGTCACAAAAGGTAAGGACAAATGTGACAGGGCAAGCAACACTCTCCGGCCTCCATTTCGGCAGTGAGGGAAGAGACAGATGAGGCTGGGATCAAAGGATTTCCCTTATCACCGGTAAAGACAACGGAAAAGGGAACCTCATCTTAACTGCAGGGTAGCCAAGACAGTCTCAGAGGCACAAGAGCCCAGAAGCCTGCTCTACTTTGTGTGTATATACCTTATAGTCTTGATGCGCTACTCAGGAAGCACTAGAGGCAGTTCAAGAAAAGGGTACATCCAGCTGCGGAAAAGGCAGAGGCAAGCATATGTTTTGGCTCTACTATCTTGTTCCTTCCTCCATGGATTAATCTGGTTTCAATACAAGGGGAAGGCAAGAGAGACCTTTCATTTAGCCAGTGCTGCAGAACCAAAGGACTGCAAAAGCCAGAAGAAACATGGCACACAAAGCTAATGTTCACAACCATACACAAGAACCCACGCTCCAGTATTTTAGTATGGTTCCTTAAAAAAAAAAAAAAGAAAAAAAAAAAGCATCTATTTCTGATGCATTTATTTCAAACAAAAGCATAGTGATGCAAGAAACACTTCCTGCTGAACAAAACGTAACTTCTGAGGGAGAAAAGAAGATGATTATCTAAGGACACCTCAAAGGGATCGCAGCCTCGTCTTAAAAACAGGTTCTGGAAATCCCATCTACCTGTCAAGCTGCAGCAGGAACCAAACTGCATTTGTTCCAGAAATAAGAAATTGGAAAACATCTCACATCATCTGTTGCTATAGGGATTCTGCTCCAACACTGTTTATGAGTCCTCTAAAACTCAGGCAACATTTTTTGCAAAGAATGTGTTGATTTTCATGGGCAGTCTCCATGCAGGAGAAAGCTCAGCATATGCATCTCATTTCAACATGCCCTTGTGGTCACCCATATTGTGCTGCTTCACAAAAGAATGAAACAGTTGAAAAAATGACTGTGTCAAGAAAGGAATGTCAGCTACCTTTTCCTCATCGCAACTCATGTAATATAAAAAGAACAATATCCTTGGGAATACCAGGGCAGTGAGAACATTGCTCCAGCAAGTGAAGTCTGAGACCACAGAGTAGAAATATGAAGGGAAAAGACACAGAGGACTGAGACTTTAAGCCGCACGCTTATTACTTTATAGAAGCATCATGGATGACACAATTGCTAGAAGCCTTGTCCACCAACTATTCTGGTCAGCTTCTTCTTCATCCATGTATGTGACAGTTTAAATGAAGGTGAGGGGTCGGTCTGGTTACAGGATTGAGCTTTCCCTGTCAGTCCTCCCGATACCTCTACATGAGCACTTGCAGGGATCAGTAATCCCCAAATGAGGCTCACAAGGGCCTGGCAATTTTAAAAAGCATTCCTGCTGGGCCATCTGTGTGACAGTGCTGAGATGCTATTTGCAGATTTCAGAGGCGAGGAAGAAAACACAGCACTCCCACTTTACCATGGGGACACAGACACGTCTGCTTCTACCTGGAAGGCTTTTCCTCCACAACCCAGCAGCAGTGAAGAATAATACCCAGTAGGTATTTGCCCATTTCCCTAATCTGCTCTTGGGATTATTCCTTGGTGATCAAACTGTATACAAGAGCCTTGGCACTGGCTTAATGCACAAGACATGAAACAGACAAGGGACAAAATGGAGAACCTGTAGATTTAGGCTAAAATCTCTCCGGCACTGCAGACAGCTTTTATTGTACTTGAATGCTAACATATTTGGCCCATCTCTACCAAATCCCTGTGAAGTAGGTAAACACTAATGATGGGATGAGGCAAAGTGCTTTGCCCAAGGTTACACAAGTGGCCTGTATTGGAGAAGGAACGTAGATCAAAGTCCCCAAATGAACTCCTAACAACTGGGCCAACTTCTACCTGGCTCGCTAGCATACTGTACAGACAGGCCCAAACAAGGAAAGGTCATGCATACAACCTAGTTCCCATAGATAAAACCCTGAATTAAGAGCAAAAAACAAGTCTTCCTCAATTGCGCTAAACGCAGCGCCAGAGGGCGCGTCCAGGAGTCCGTGGATGTTTGGTTCCCTGGTGACCTTGCACCACTACTTCTTGTCCCAGGTGAATGCCTGTACTACACACACTTCGGCACGTGGCAAACTGCCCTGGGTGGGGTAGGGGAGGCTGGGACCAGCACTGAGCTGGTCTCAGCAGCCTTACCTGGGTCCTGGGGGCCTCCTGGGGCTGCAGCTGTGCCAATTCTGCCACGTGGAGCCTGGCTGGCAGCAAAGCACAGCTCCTGGTGAGCTGGCTCCACTTTTCAGCAGCGTGCACTGGCAGAGCATGTGTTGCTCTGGTTTGGGGTTTTTTTACACTTTTTTTTTTTTTTACCCCTGGATATCTAGGGGTCAAAAAACCCACAGAAAAAAAACCTGGCGCAGCACACGCTTGGGCAGCATGCTTTTGTAGCGCGGACAACGCCGGACTGTGCGGTATGCAGTGTTGCAATCACGTTTGGAGTACCGCATACTGCACGACCACACTCATCTGGACGTGCTCAGAGAGAGCTCCCGTACAAGGCTGAACTTAAAGAACCCAAAGATCGCTGATATAAATGAACAGAAAGTCACTGTTGCTCGAGTTAAAAACAACATTGCTTCTTTCACCTTACTTCCCAACTGTATACCTGACCCAGGGTCCCTCAAATTTTTGTGGTTTTCCAATCACATTTTCCCATTTCTTTAAAAAAAAATAATCTCCCCCTCTTGCTGTGTGAAAAATACAGTAAGTCCAATGGTCCTTAAACAGTGGCACCCATACTGG